TGTGTGTGTGTGTGTGTGTGTGTGTGTGCGTGTGAGAAAGAGAGAGAGGGGGGGGGGGAAACCAGGCAGCCTACATTTTTGCACACTCTTAAGTGGAGAAGGGAGGTGTCAACCCAGATTCTCTCGCACCCTTGCTACGGCGTGACCATGGATGGGTTCGGCCAAGAAGAAGAACCATCTCAGATACTTCCAAAACCTGGGAAAAGCAGAGCCAAGGAAAGCTTGGGAAGGATTGGAGGTAAACTCTGGCCCACTCCCTTCCCTGGCAGGGATGATATCGGCACAACAACCCCAGAAGAAGATGTGCTTCCGGAGCAGAGAGAGGGGCGGAAGAAGTTGTGATTGGATGGGGACTTCCTTCAACCATCCTCCTCTCCATCTACGTCCACAAACTTGGGATGCCTTCCTTCTCCTACCTGGAAGCGGGGCGTCATCTCTCAACTCCACGTCCGGATTTCCATGTGGGAGAACGGGAGAGGGACGCCTTCACTTAGCGACGGTACTAAGCTTGTAAAGGCCGCGACATCTGTAGAGAAAAAAAAAAATCAAGACGCTAGGACTGCTGGCGTTTTCGATGTGCATGTTTGAATTTTGCCCGTGGATAATATATTTTTCTTTCTTTCTTTTTGCCCCCCCCCCCCACTTTTTGTTTGGCTTGTTTTTAGTTGGTGATTAATATTATTATTATTATTGTTATTATTATTATTTTGGCAAGGAATCGTGTGTTGTTGTTGTTTTTTTAAAAAAAGGGAAAAAAATGGACAGGGGAGAGATGAAACAAATCTTTATGAAGACGTCAAGCTAAAGTTTACGACGGGACCGATGGCCACATTACGTCTGTTCTCATCGTGGGCAGAATTAAAGCCGGTTTGGTTTGGATTGTTGGGCTCCAGAGATGATGGCTAAACCTAAGTTTACTCCCCCACCCCGCCGCCCCAGTCATTAAAACAAGAGTGTCCCCTTGAATATTCTCTTCCAGAGCACCTTCCAGATGTGTTGGATTACCCCTCCCATGCTGCACAGCCGGCAGCTTGCCTCGAGGCAGGCTGGAGAAATTTCTCAGGCTCCTCCCATTCTCTGCTCCTTGAAATCAGATGCCCGAGGTGGTTTGGTTTCCGAAAAGTTGGCTGTCTTTCCCCATTTGGGAGAAAATTCTGTGCTATGTATTTTTCTCCTTTGGCTGAGTGGCCAGAACTGAGATGTCCTCGTTCCCTCCTTCTCTGTCGCTACTACCTCCTTCTGTTCTCCTCTTTCTCTCTTTTTCTTCTCTGTCGTTATTATCTCTTCCCCTTCTCTCTTTTTTATTCTATTTTCCTGCTCCATCTTCCAAACTACCAAAAGCCTTGTCCCTTCTCCTTCACCTTTTCCCCCTCTCCTCCTCCTCCTCCTCCTTTCTTCCTCCTCCTCCTCTTTCTCTCCCCCCTTCTCCTGTTCCTCCTCCTTTCTGCCTCTCCTCCTCTTCTCCTTCCTCTTCGTCCTTTCCCCCTCTCTTCCTCCTTCTTTCCCCTCTCCTCCTTTCCACCTCTCTCATGTTCCTCCTCCTTCCCCCACTCTCCTCCTCTTCCTTCTCCTTTCCTCCTCTTGCATTCCCCTTCTCCTCCTTTCCCTCTCTCCTCCTCTTCCTCCTCATTTCTCCCCTCCTCCTCTTCCTTCTCCTTTCCCCCTCTCCTCCTTCCTTTCTCCTCCTTCCTTCTTCCTCCTTTCCCCGTCTCCTCTTCCTGCTCCTTTCCCCCCTCCTCCTCTTCCTGCTCCTTTCCCCCTCTCCTCCTTCCTTCTTCCTCCTTTCCCCCTCTCCTCCTCTTCCTCCTTATTTCCCCCCCTCCTGCAATACGGCTCTGAATGGCTCTCGTTTCTGAATCTGATCCAATAGGGCTGGTTTAGTTTTTCTCTCCTTTAATATTCCTGCTACTTAAAACATTTGGTTTGCTTTCTCGGGAGCAGAATTTAATTTAAATTGGTGTTCAGCTACAGCAGCAGCATTTCTCAGCCTTGGGAACTTTATGAGGCTCCCAGAATTCCCCCAGCCAGCATGCTGGGGAATACAAGTCCACATACCTGCAACCTTCCAAGGTAGAGAATTGCTGAGTTAAGGAGAGCAGCGCTGAGGAAGGAGTGAAAGAAAAGGGGGGGGGAAACGGGGTCGGTTCTGTTTGCTTTTGGAAATCAAAAGAAAAACCGGATAATAATAGTTTACAAAATTATCCTCGGTTATCTTAACTCACCTACCAGGTCTCCTGAGCCCAACGGTGTGTATTTTATGGCTCAACTCTTGCAAATTAAAAAAAAAATGAAAACATGTTTATTGCTTTTTTTATATTCGGGGGGCGGGGGGACCTAGTGAAAATAATTGCAGTTAAAAAAACCCGGCACCCATGAAGTCAACGTGCAAATGTCTTTCCACACATTCCAGGTGGAAAGCAAGTCATTGAAATGGACACGGAGGAGGTGATCAAAGAAATTCACTTTTTTTGCCCTTGCTATTTCTCTGTTTAGGCACTGGCAGCATCATTGTAGAGAAGACTCTTCTCCCAGTCTGTCTGTCCGTCCGTCCATGCAGCCATCCATTCATATCTCATCTGTCTACCTTCCTATCTACCTATTTAATCTATCTCTATTTATCTCTATCTCTAGCTATCTACCATCCATCCATCTCATCTATCCATCTACCTACCTAGCTACCTACCTACCTACCTACCTAATCTGTCTCTATAATTGATCTGTCATCCATCCATCCATCCATCTCATCTATCCATCTACCTACCTACCTACCTACCTACCTACCTATCTACCTACCTACCTACCTACCTAATCTAGCTCTGTAATTGATCTGTCATCCATCCATCCATCTATCCATCTATCTTCCTACCTTCCTACCTAATCTATCTCTATAATTGATCTGTCTGTCATCCATCCATCCATCTATCCATCTAGCTTCCTATCTGCCTACCTAATCTATCTCTATGTATAATTGATCTGTCTGTCATCCATCCATCCATCTATCTCATCTATCCATCTATCTACCTACCTACCTACCTACCTACCTACCTAATCTATCTCTGTAATTGATCTGTCATCCATCCATCCATCTACCTTCCTACCTACCTACCTAATCTGTCTCTATAATTGATCTGTCTGTCATCTATCCATCCATCTATCTCATCTATCCATCTACCTTCCTACTTTTCTACCTAATCTATCTCTATAATTGATCTGTCTGTCATCCATCAATCTGTTTACCTATCTCTCATCTGTTCATCTACCCACCTAATCTATATTTATAATTGATGTCTACCATCCATCCATCCATCTATCTCATCTGTTCATCTACCTTCCTACCTACCTTATCTATCTATATCTATTATTGATCTATGTGCCTCTCTATCAACTATCTCGTCTGTCCATCTATCTTCCTATCTACCTACCTAATCTATCTATATCTATTTATCATTGATCTATGTGTCTATCTGTCTGCCCATCCATCCATCTGTCCAATCTTTTATCTAGGCAAGGAGGGAATGAAGATCAGTTGCTGACCCCTATTTACACCTGTAGGTCAATGAGCACAAAATGGGCATGAATGGGCAAAATTGCTTCTAGCATTTATTGTTCCTAATTCAGCATCCTCAATAAAAGTCCATATGGAACTCCTGATGTCTTCACAGGGGCATTGCTCCTGATTTGATCTCGATGCCTGGAGAACCCACGGACCAAGGATTCCCCTCCTGACCTGCCCCAAGGATAGCCTGAAGCTTTTCCAAGGAGCATCTGGCATTTTAACAGTGGTTTATATACAACATATTCAGAGAAGTAAATATCTGACAATCTTCTTAACCTTACACAGAACTTAGCAATGGATACCGGACACAAGGAGAGAGATACACAAGGAGAGAGAGAGAGACATATCCCCTCTCGTGGCCTCCTTTATATAGACAAGTTTCTTAAAGTGGCAATACCTCAGCTTCTTAAAGCAGCAATACCTCTGCTGACTCATCCTCATTTCATCGTCTTAAACTACAGCCTTACATTGGCTGGTCAGCTTTAAATCATCATTACCCTGACAAAATAACAATTAAGTTAGCCTTGGTAAGTTCTGAAAGAAGGTATATCAGTGCTTTGCACTATGGAGTCCTCTTTCCAGCTTGGTGGTGGTGGTGGGTCTCTTCATTTTCTTTAGGACAATCGTTCCTTCACGAAAGGTGTCAATGTGGTTGGTTTTGGAGAAGAGACAGAAGAAAGTGGCAACATGAGAAATTGGTCCCCAAGCTGGTTGAAAAGGATGAAGGCTCCATGCCACAACTTCGTAGGAAACCCGAAGGTCCATCCCAACCTTCTGGCTCATAGATACAAGGTTACCACCACGTAGATAATCCAACTGATGGACACAAAGAGGCCCAAGAAGAGACTGAACAAGACGAGCCAGCGGGTTTTGTGGGAAGCCATCGTGGCTTGGATGAGGTCACCTCGGTTCAGAGCGGCCCGGGTCTACATGAGAAAGAAAATGGAGACTCTTGGAACAATTTCCACTTTAGGGGAGAAATATGGACCCACTGTTCAATGTTTTCCTTGGAAGCAAGGCCAAGGACAGGTAATCCTCACCTTACGACCACAATTGAGCCCAACATTGTCTGTTGCTAAGCATCCATCCATCCATCCAAACCATCCATCCATCCACACACCTACCCATCCACTCATTCAGCCAGCCAGCCATCCACTCAACCATCCATTTATCTACCCATCAATTCATCCATCCAGCCAGCCAGCCACCTACCCATCCATCCATCCAATCAACCACCCATTTATCTACCCACCCACTGATTCATCCATCCACTCAACCATACACCTACCCACCTACTGATCCACTCATCTATCCATCCATCCATTCAACCATACACCCATCTATCTACCTATCCACTCATCCATCCATCCATCCATCCATCCATCCATTCAAACATCCACTCACCCACCTACCCATCCACTCATTCAGCCATCCATCCATCCATCCACTCAACCATCCATTTATCTACCCATCCATTCATCCAGCCAGCCACCTACCCATCCATCCATCCATCCAATCAACCATCCAATCAACTATCCATTTATCTACCCATCCACTGATTCATCCATCCACTCAACCATACACCTACCCACCTACTGATTCACTCATCTATCCATCCATTCAACCATCCACCCTTCTATCTACCTATCCACTCATCCATCCATTCAAACATCCACCCACCCACCTACCCATCCACTCATTCAGCCATCCATCCATCCACTCAACCATCCATTTATCTACCCATCCATTCATCCAGCCAACCACCCAGCCACCTATCCATCCATCCATCCATCCATCCATCCATCCATCCATCCATCCATCCATCCAATCAAACATCCATTTATCTACCCATCCACTGATTCATCCATCCACTCAACCATACACCTACCCACCTACTGATCCGCTCATCTATCCATCCATCCATTCAACCATCCATCCATCTATCTACCCATCCACTCATCTGTCCATCCACTCAACCATCCATCCATCTATCTACCCATCCACTCATCCGTCCATCCATCAACTTAACCATCCATCCACCCACCCACCCACCTACCCATCCACTCATTCAGCCATCCATCCATCCATCCGCTCAACCATCCATTTATCTACCCATCCACTCATCCATCCACCCACCCACTACCGATCCTCTCATCCATCCATCCATCCATCCACTCAACCATCCATCCATCTACTTACCCATCCACTCATCCATCCATCCATCAACTCAACCATCCATTTATCTACCCACCCACTCATCCATCCATTCCTCCATCCATTTCCCCCATTTTATGACCAGTCTTGCCACCCTTGTTGAATGAATCGCCACAGTTGTTAAGTTAGTCCCACGCTTGGGAAGTGACTCTGTCTTCCCTGTCGGTTTGTCAGAAGGACGCAAAAGGGGACCTCTCGTGACACCCCCCCCCCCAGGATGTTGCGAACATCATAAATATGAGCCAGTTGGCAACATCTGAATTCTGATCACCCGACCATGGGGATCAAAATGTGAAAAATGATCATAAGTTGCCTCCCCCCCCAAAAAAAAACTTCCCAGCATTTTCTTTGCCATAGCAGCAGGACATACCTCATGGGAATAGACAAGGGCTACCAGTCCCGTGAACAAGCAGCAGAAAATTGTCACCAGTATTGATTCCACCATATAATCCTTGGGTGGCAACCTCTGCTGACCAACTGGGGGGCTCTCGCCGTGCCAGGCACTCTGGTACTGAAAGAAGAGCCAAAATTCAACCGTCTTGAACTGACAATCCCGCCCAACTCTTTATTTGCTTGATAGGCACCCCAGCTTTCCTCAGGGGTTCAGGGTGGAAAACCTAGCCTAGCGCTCTCTTTTCCATACAACAACCCTGCCAGGTAGGTTGGGTAGGGAGATGGCAGCTGATTCGCTTCCCCCAGGGTTAAGCCAATACCTGTTTGAAGCAGCCGCATGCAAGTGTCAGTTGCGGTGCTGCAAAATTCCGGATCGATATGAAATTTGAAGTTGGGTCATCCTTAAACCGAGAAATAGAAGGACTAAGGGAGGACAAAATGGGTAACAGGAGGGATTTCTGGCTTCCTGCCACCTTCCCCATCAGGGAGCATCTGACATCTATCCTTCCTTCCTTCCTTCCTTCCTTCCTCTTCCTTCCATTTCCATTTCCCACTCCAGTCTGCAAACCTCACTCCCTTCTAGCACTGATGATGTTACCTAGTTGGGTTATGAAACATCTGCAGGAAAACAACCAGGTTTAGTGAACACCAAAGACCCCACAGTCCTCCTCCCTCTTTCTCCTCCTCCTTCCTCTCCCTCTGTCTCCTCTTTCTCCTTCGCCTTCCCCCCTTCCTCTTTTTCCTTCTCCTTCCCCCCTTTCTCCTTCTCTTTCTCCTGCTCTCTTTCTCCTCCTCCTCCTCCCTCTTTCTCCTCCTCCTTCCTCTTTCTCCTCCTTTCCCCTCTTTCTCCTCCTCTTCTTCTCCTTCCCCCTCTTTCTCCTTCTTTCTCCTTCCTGCTCCTCCTCCTCTTTCTCCTCCTCCTCCTCTTTCTCCTCCTTCTCTTTCTCCTTCCTTCCTCCTTCTCCTTCCTCCTCCTCTGCAAAGTCCGCTCCCTACTAACAGTGATGATGTTATCTAGTTAGGTCATGAAACGTCTTGCAAGAAAGCAACCGAGCGCAGGGACACACCAAGGAGCCCACCCTTCAATCCTGACCTACAAAATGTTCTCATCTGTAAATGGCATTTCCCCTTATTTACAACTCACAATGGTGAACGGATAGGAGCTTGGTATCACATTTGGAGGTTGGCTTGGGGCCTGGGATGGCGCCGTTGGCTGGTAAAAGATGTAACTCAGTGGTGGGAGATCATTTTGGAACGGTGGGTACAAGTGAATGTCTTTCGGATCCGGTGGAGCATATGGCGGAGGTTCTTCTACGAAGCCTGGATTGATAGTCCCCATGTTCTGGAGATGATCTGCTCCTCCTTGGTGATCAGGCTTGGATGGGGTCTTCTGCTCTCCTGTGACGTTGGTAGGTGCTGCATCTCCTGGAGAAGGTTGGGCCTCTCCTTCTCTTTCAGCTTCCCTCGGCTGATCTGGAGATGGGCCCGGATTGAGTTCTTCTCCAGGCATGTTGATGTCCTCCAAACTTGGTGGCTTGAATGGAGAGAAGTTTCCACCGGTCCTATAAGGAAGCAACAGCCCCCATAATGTTGGTCATCAAATAGTTTCTGGTTTCCCTTTCGTAGCAAGTTGGATCATTTGCAAAGTTCTCAAAGGGGAAGAAGATGTGAACATGAAGGAAGGAAGGAAGGAAGGAAGGAAGGAAGGAAGGAAGGAAGGAAAAGGGAGGAGGGGGAAAAGGAAAGAAAGGGCAAAAGAAAAGGAGGAAGGGAGGGAGGGAGGAAAGGGAAGAGGGAGGGAAGGGAAGAAAAAAAAGGAAGAAGGAGAGGAAAGAAAAGAAAGGAAAGGGAGGAAGGAAGGAAGGAAGGAAAAGGGAGGAGGGGAAAAAGGAAAGAAAGGAAAGAGCAAAAGAAGAGGAAGAGGGGGAGGGAAGGGAAGAGATGGAAGGGAAGAAAGAAAGAAAAAGAAAAAAGGGAGAAGGGGAGGAAAGAAAAGAAAAAGGAAAGGAAGGAAGGAAGGAAAAGGGAAGAGGGGGAAAGGAAAGAAAGGAAAGGACAAAAGAAAAGGAGGAAGGAAGGGAGTGAGGAATGGGAAGGGAAGGAGGGAGGAATGACAGAAAGGAAAAAAAGGGAAGAAGGAAGGGAGGAAAGTAAAGGGAAGGAAGGAAAGAAAGAAAAAAAGGAGAAGGCGAGGAAAGAAAAGAAAAAAGGAAAGGGAGGAAGGAAGGAAGGAAAAGGGAGGAGGGGGAAAGGAAAGAAAGGAAAGGACAAGAAAAGGAGGAAGGAAGGGAGTGAGGAATGGGAAGGGAAGGAAAGGAGGGAGGAAAGACAGAAAGGAAAAAAAGGGAAGAAGGAAGGGAGGAAAGGGAAAGAAAGAGAAGGAAGGAAAGAAAGAAAAAAGGGGAGGGAAGAAAAGAAAGGAAAGGGGCTTGAATTGTGGTTGCACGTCAAGGGGCAGGGGCGGGGAATTGATGCGAGGAGCCCCTGGCTTCATCACAGATAGACTGCCTCAATCCCTGGAGGCTCGGTTGTCGAGGTTCCTTTAGGGTTTTTTTGCACCGTTCGTCTTAGGAAAGAGGGGAGCCACAACCACACTCCCCAGAGTTTATAGCTATGGAAAGGAATTTGGGGCAGGTACCTGTATTCTCCACAGCCTCCGTCCTTCTTCAAAGCCCCGGGCACCTCAGCCAGGTAGGGGGGCTTTCCTCCCTCTGCCTGCCCCGTGCCATCTTCCTCACCCCGGCCCGGAATAACAATGGCACCCCTGGGCTCACGTCCGACTCATCCCATGCGCTGAGATTCATTTCCAGGGCCGTATTAATCATTGACTGTTTGTTTGCTGAGGGACGGTTGCGTGTACCAAAAGCCAAGGAGGTCGAAGGCCACTGTGTGTGTGTGTGTGTGTGTGTGTGTGTATTTGTGTGTTTTTGTGTGCAGTGCGAAGCTGTGCCAGGATCCTGGCTTGGCTTGGCAACCATCTCCCCGCCCAGAAGGAGACGGGTCAGGGCAAAGGGCAACTTGACTCTCCTCCAGCTGAATAATCTGGATTTATTTGGGGGTTGGATTGCCGAGACCTTTGATCTGTCCATAAAGTTTGAGGAACTCTCAACTCCCCCAAGATAGGTTGCCAATGAGTAGCCCTCCCCCCCCAACTCTCCAATATGTGGGATTTGCTTCTGCCCCAAGTTTTGGACAAGTTTAGCTGCACCTCCAAGGTATCCTTCCAACTCTGTTGTTCTGTTCCATTCCATTCCGTTCTATATTCTCTATTTCTATTCTATTCTATTCTATACTGTTCTGTTCTATGTTCTATATTATATATTCCTATTCTATTCTACTATTCTACTCTTCTGTTCTGTTTTAGATTCCTATTCCCATTCCATTCTATTCTATTCTACTCTAGCCTTCTATATTCTATATTCTATATTCTATATTCTATATTCTATATTCTATATTCTATATTCTATATTCTATATTCTATATTCTATATTCTATATTCTA